TCTCTCTCTCTCTCTCTCTCTCTCTCTCTCTCTCTCTCTCTCTCTCTCTCTCTCTCTCTCTCTCTCTCTCTCTCTCTGTATTAATAAATTGAGTTTTTTAAGTTTCCCGTAGTACGCCAACTGGTGTGAAGGCACTTGACGTCATTGATCTTCGAAAACAATAAAGGAAAGAGCCAAGGAAGCCTCTTGACCAAATGAGTACATTGAAAGATTTTGGTCACAATCTTCTAGTGAGCTACATTATTAGTCACCTTTTGATTGCCATTTTATTCTCATGGAGTCCAATACTCTATTTCTCTTGTTCCAAATAACGTACTCGAAGGGAAGGAAGAAAGGATTGCACCAGGAACCTTACTTGGAACAACGCACTTGTATGTCTACACCTAACTAGCTGCTTATCTGACCATCATTTTCATGAATTGTAGGACTTCTTTTGTGAATTTTCTTATTTCTCATTGTATGAGTTTTTTTTTTTTTTCCTTTTTGAGAGAGGGTTTAACACAGGGAGACTCTTGATTAGCATTTAAGATTTTTTTTCTTTGGTATGTGCTTGGGGCAATGGATAAAACTGGTGCTAAAAGGGTAAACACATTTATTCTTCTGTATGTTAGTGTTACTCCACAAGCACTTAATGATTTGTTGGCTAGATTTATATATGAAATTCTTTCGACCTCTTTTCAATTATCCTCCGCATTTTGTCATACTGATTCCACGTGATCCTTACCCAGGTTGAGCTACTAAGTGGATGTCACTCTTTGGTCGGAAGAATTAGAGGCTTTGGATGATGTTACTTTGGCAGCAACGTAAGGTATTTTTCTTTTTTTATAATAGGAGCCCAGATTCTTTATGTGTTGTTTGATGCATGCATGCAAAGTTTTATGCGTTTTATGGGAGTGAGTTATTCATTATTGGGTGACGTGCTTCATGTATGAGGAAGCAAGGGAAGAGGAGAAGCTATGAAATCAATGCAAAGGACTGCAGTGACATTGTGGCAGAGGTTTGTTCTGAGTGCATTCTAGAGTAGGTTGGAATTTTTGTTCGTGTTGTTCTATGGGTTTTCACTTTTTTTTAAAAAAAAAAATTGAACTCTATGCAGGCTAAGAAAAAGAGGAATCACAAGATGTAGAAAAACGGAAGGGAAGGCAAATAAGAAGGTTTTCGAGTTTTAGGCACAAATCTATGCATCAAATTTGCATGCTCCCTCTCCCCCATTGGATATATTCTGTTTGGGGAATATACTATGAACTCTGAAATTTGAAATATCTGACACATTGAAAGTTCTTATTGATATATAAAATGTGAAGTTCTTTGGTTGATCTTGGGCTCATCTTGGTTCGATTAGTAAATGGATAGGGCAGCTAGCTACTATTGAGGTAGGAGTGATGTTTAAAGGGAATTTGATTAGTGAATCCATTATGAGATCGTCAATGAATCTTAACTGTGCCCGAAGTTGGTGGAAAGTTAGAAGTGGTTTTATTTTATTTAGAAGTTATTTTCACCGTTTAAAGGAGCTTTAGAAGTTATTCTCACCGTCTAAAGGAGCATTATTATCAGCATAAAGGAGCATTATTATCAGCATAAGATATATCCATTGTGGTCATGCAATAATGGGTAGCAAGCCAGGGAATAATAAAATATCAGCAGATCAAAATATCGGTAAGAAATCGATTTTATTTCAAGAGGTCGGAGTAAAAAAATCAGTTAAAAAATATGGATCACCAAAAAAAAACGGTAAGTTATAGAAGCATGAATACTTTGCATTTGGTTAAAAAAAAATAGTAAAAAAACCAGATATGCAAACATCATAGTTGCTAAGTCTCCGTTCAAAACATGATTTTTTAAAATAAATATCTGATTTTTTAAATCCGTTAAGAATCCTGTGCTTTTTAAAAGATCTTCAAAAAATTGCTTTTTTAATAGTATTGATATAAATTTATATTTTATCTTTTCTAAAAAATACTTATTCCTCATAACTTTATTTATTTATTTATTTATTTATTTAATATTATGAAAATTGGTTTAAAGAAAAGTAAAGTTACAATAGGAGTAAATTTAAAATCTTGATTTAACAAAAAATACCATTAAAAGTTTTACCAATGAGTTCCCTAAAAAAATGTACAAATAAATGTAATATATTCCCAGAAAAAAGTGACTAAAACAATCATATATCTCAAAATAGTAGGTAGAACTCATATTTTTCCTTTCGTACATGTTTAAATAAATTTCTTATTTTTCACAATTTTTATTTTAATAATTTATTGATAATTTTATCGATTTTTTCATTTTTGGGATTTTAGGCCAGCTATTTATTGAACTTGGCTCAGCTTGTTTGTCTCAGCTTGGCTCAGATTATCTCGGCTTGGCTCAGGTAACGTCAGCTCGACTTGGCTAATATCGGCTCGGCTCGGCTCGATTCGGCTCAGGTCCATGAAATATTAAGATTTGGATATTTTTAGCTGAGTCGAGTTGAACCGAGCCCATTAAGCGAAACCGACCCGATATAAGCTGAGCCAAGCCGATATAAGCTGAGCCGAGCCGACTTAAGCTGAGCTGAGCCGTTTTAAGCCGAGCCAAGCTACTAGCCGAACTTTTATCAGCGCAAACCTAATATCCACGAAAAGAGGAAAATTTTAGCTAGAAAACGTGCTTCCATGGGCTTCTTTTGGTTTTCTGGGTTTTCAAATTGAGGGGAAGAATTGGAGAAGAGAGGGATGCCATGCATCCGTCGACTGCGAATCCTCATCTTCTTTCGGAAAGTGTGCCTGAGTCTCTTGCTACCCTAGTTTTACCCCATTCCATTATCACCCAAGACCCCTTTGCCATCCTTCACTCGTTGCCCCAATTCACGGCTCTGGTTTTGCTCGGGTACTCATATGTTGGTAAACGTCTAGCAAAATGCAGCGCAGACAGCTTCCCCAAGCTTCAAATTCTACTCCGAAGATGGAGGATTGGGGTCAGTTTTCGTCTCCTTGCTTTCCCCAAGCTTCAAATTCTACTCCGAAGATGGAGGATTGGGGGTCAGTTTTCATCTCCTTGCTTTCCCTGTGAACGAAGATGAACTGCAGTTGCAGTTAATATTAATGTTTGGACTGAATTGATAGTTTGCATGCTTCAATATTATAATGCACTAACCATGGTATTGTTGGACCAAACCATGTGAATTATGAACGTTTGTTGCCATTGGATGTGTAAGATTATGTGTGTGCTCATGAGTGTTCCATGCTGATAGACATCAATATTGTGTTAGAAGGCTTATCATCTTGAAATAGGGGGTTTAGAGTAAAAATAGTCTGTCCTTGGGAAGAAGATGAAACATAAAACTAGGTGATGAATGAAACTTTTCTCAATAATGCATATTTACCTTCGAAAATATTCCTTTCTATAAGTCTTTTGTGGCATGCAATGAGAAACAGAGCATCAACATATGAACTTATGCAAAAATAGGGCTCACTGGTTCTATGTGGATATGTTATTTGTTGATATGGGAGATGGAACCTTTATTCTTCCTTGTTGCTT